CAATTTTGAGAAAGTTAATTTTTGTCCATTTTTAATGAAATTTGACTTAAAGGTGTAAGGTGGGATGAAATTGAATAAGTTCCAGAGAACCAGTATAATTGGACCATAGGAGAGGTGTTTTAAGGGGGTTTTATGAGGTAAAAATGGGTTTTTCTCGTATTTGACCCTCAAAATAAAAGATTTGCCAATATCTCTATAGACAATTTTAAAGAGCTTAAAAAAACAAAGACATTAGGAGCGTGTATATATTTCAAAATGTTTTTGTCCCACAGTTATTGGTTACGGAGAAATATAAAAAAATTAAAATTCCCATGTTATTCTTATGAAGAATATCGTAAAATGTAGTAGTTTGCTTTTTTATAGATATATTTTGACAAAGCTTGCGGAATTGATTTATTTTATACTAAGCTATTAATATTTCACTAAAAAACACTTTATTACCCTCCATCTAGCAGCAAACCTAGGTAGGCTTGTTAAACCGAATGTAATTTTAATATAGACCTATTTAAATGAAAATTCATTCAGGCTAATGTAAATTTGTTTAGTGTGCAGGTTTGCTGCAGCAGGGATATTTAATTAGCGTTGGTAAACCTGTGATGGGGTAAGCTAACATTAGGGATTACGCCACCTACCTAAGTTTCATGTGAAATTTAAGGGCTAGAGTTCCGCAAAAAACCTAGTAAGTAGATAACTTTGGAGTAGGTTTATCAGACTAAATTTGAATTCAATGTAGGCATAAAAATATTGATTAAAATACAAGAACAAAATACTTATTTCATTTTATGTAAATAGGGGAATGATTTTAATTTATTATGGGTGTGTATAAAAAAATACCCACGCTGTTCTAATATTAATAACAGCAATCCTGCCGACTAAGCAAATTTCCATTCGCCTGGATTGATTTTCGATTAATCTATTAATAAACATTTATGTTTAACGAGTAGCCTACCCTAGGTTTGCTGCTACATGGAAACTAAGTTAATAAAGTGTGTGTTTTTTTAAATATATTTATTAATAGCTTAGTATAAAATAAATAAATCTGACAAGTTTGATCAAAATATATCCACAAACAAGCCAACTACAACATTTTACAATATTCCCCATAAGAATAACATTCGGAGTTTTAAATGAAAAATATTTGTAATTTTCTCTGTAACCAATAACCGTACAAAAACACTTTGATACTGGTATACTAAATTATTTTTTTAAGCTCCTTCAAAAGGTCTGGAGAAAAATTGGTTAATTTAGTGTTTTAAGGGTAAAAATGGAAAAACCTATTTTTACTCTATAAAATCCCCAGTTAAACCTCGATCCCATGGTCAAATCATGCTGGTTTGCAAATTCATTCGAGTTTATCCCGCACTACACCTTCAAACAAAATTTTATCAGAATCGGACCAAAATTCTATTCTGCTAGTAAAGACCTTTAATTTGATGTGCATGTATGCAACCTGTGCTTCTATTTAAGATTTCCTTCTGACTCCTTGCAGGACGTGCCCATGATATGACAGAAAATTTATAGTTTTTTTAAAAAGTAGATTACTATTGTTGCTAATGTGTGGGTCTGGAAAGATTACTTAAGCTATTAAAAATTACATATCTGTTAACAATATACGTACTGTCAAAGATTTGAAGTGAAGCACAAACCTGCTGACCACATAAATTAATTTAAAAAAATTTCAAACTATTTATTCTGAAAACTTTACCGTCAAGTTTACAAAGACAGAGTTTAATAAATTTGCATTTTGATTGGGTTTTAACGGATCTTGAGATAGTGCTTAACGACCGTCGTTAGGAATCCTTACAAACAATGTTCTATTGTTCTAATTATTATTGGGTTATAATTTGCCCAAGTTATTTGATTTCAATAGTAATCCGCTTTATAACTTTCCTTCAATGAACTTCGAGAGATCTTGAGAAAATGGCATTTCCCTCAGAATAATATTATCACTTTATATAGAAATAAAAGAAGGGATTTCGGAAATAAAACATGTAAAGTTGTGTGACAATCCGCTTATTCCGAGAAATGAATTGAAGCGTTTAAAACCCCTTACATCACTTACGAGTGGTTGAAAGGCGTTTTTGACGTTTGAATGCTTTTTGGGATTTACTTTAGGCAACAGAGAATCGAACTTTTTGTATCAAAAGATAAGAATGCAAACGGTAAAATAAGTTTGCATGTCATAATAAAATGGATAAATGTAATAAAATTAATATACATTTTGAGATAGTAACTTAAATTATGTTAAGGACGGAACACAATGAAAAGTAAACACCTAAGATCTTAAATGCCTGACCCAAACAACTGACTTTATTAATGTATGAGCTTCAGAAGGTATGAGCTACTTTATAAACACAGTAAATTAAATGTACGCATTAATTTTATAAAATGAAAGCTTTTTAAAGGAAAACTAAATTAAATAGAAATATGCTGTTTATATGTCTACGTAAAAATTACCACTAGCCAATAAAATTACAATGCACGACATTATTAACATTGCCATATCATCGATGGTATTGTACAGTATACGACCGGTTAAATTTTTTGTCTGACGTTAACTACTGATACTGATACAAATTACTGTTGCTAGAATTTGACAAATACGTTTTCTCAAAAATCTAAAACTGCTTAGAGAATTCAAGTTACAGTATCAATTTGTAAATTAACAAACAAATCAGTAAATTTTGTTATGCATCTATCAACATGAATGCAGTGATCTTAAATTATTTAGATTATGCTTTTAAACTAATGAACTCAACCTCATTGTGTACGAAAGTTTTTGACAGCATAAACTAAACTATATATTGTGACTGGATTAAGGAACAAGATCACAGTGTCGCCAATGAAGTTTGGCTTTGGAGACTAACGTTTGTTAAATATATAGCACTATATAGGCTAATTTGCTTTATGAATTCCGACATTTGGTTTATTTTCTCAAGTGCACGCAGTAGTACCTTCAGAACGGTTAGATATAGTCAGCAGTATAACAAAACATGTTATACATTGTGTATTATATTTAATTTTCAGAACTGTTACAAGCTTCATACACATATTAATTCTCTCATTATAAAACGCAGCATAATATTGTTTAGTTTGTTGCTGTAAAATTGTAATGCACACTGTTCATGCCTAACCTTTATAATATTTTGCTTATTGTAGCAATCTCACGAGAAGGATACCATATGTTATGAGTTGGACAAAGTCGCTGCAAAGTTGAATTGTGGTAACACAGGCGAGATGCAGAATCTTACAACACATCGACAGCTCAGACAACATCCCCAGACCACCCACAGAAACAGAGATTTGATTTGACGTTTCTTTACTTGACTGACAGGTGACTAAGCCTCGATACAGATTTTTAACAATCGATACGATTCATTTTTAAGAATACCTTATTACTAACATTCAAATGCTTAACTTATAAAACACATTGTAAAACGTCTATTTAATATTTTGCTTGTTTAATATAAGCATTTCCTCGGTGGTTAAATATTTTAATCTAAAACAAACAGTATGATTAACCAGAGTTATTGGTTATGAGTGTTGTGTTGTGCTGGAAGGGTTGTGGGGGGCGGCATACCGCTTTGAGGTGCACTTGCACCCCCGCTATTCCTGCTATGCAATTATACCATTTCCCTCGCCTCTATTGTTAATTAAACGTTTAGCCCGGGGCTCTCTTGGCGCAACCCTTTACAAAAACCACCTACAGAACCGATGTCTACTGTCACGGGCATATGACTTCAAACCACGCACATCAAAGGCCACATGTCTCATGTAATACAATAACAAAATACCTCTGAGCGCGCAATGGACTGTCACTTTTATCGGACGATACAGGCGGAGGATGACACTGAGTCAGCTGAGTGATGGACGTAAACATTTACCTATCATTCTGGAGAACTCGGGTAGAGAAGTGTAAATACGATAATTAATTTAGGTATTTTACCTTAACATTAGGGCTTTCCCTAATTTCATTTAGAACAATTATTTATATTACAAAACATAAAAAAAAAAACTGAGCAATTGTATTTATATTTTGCCAGAATGTGATCAACCACTTGTGATATTGAAAATTAAAAATTTACAACTATATACTTTTTTCATTGACATTTTTCTTTTAATATTACAGTTTTCATCCCGTGTTTCACTGAACAACTAACGGACTATTTGTTTTTGTGGACATTGCCACGCCTCACTGCCTCGTCCGCCTACAGGTACTAAGTCACGCTGGGCCACAGTCTGCCACAACAGAGATGCAGATCACTGGTTATGCAGCACACGTCTCGCGACTGATTGTCAAGTTTTCACCCGGAAAATTGGATTACATTCCTGGTACAAAGCCGCCGCATTCCCGTGTGAGAGCAGATTACCGTCTCCGGCAGCTACAGCTACAGCTACAGCTACAACTACAACTACAGCTACAGCTACAGCTACAGCTACAGCTACAACTACAACTCGCCGTCACTACTGACTTATCTGATGCAAATGTGCTTGCCAAGTTGTGCACGGACAATAAAACAAAAATGCTAATTGTAGGCTTACGGTTGATATTTAGTTAAAAAATATTTAATGTTCATGATTAATATAAACTGTATTTCTACATTATATGAAATGGTAGAAAAATGTTAAAACCATTTACTCACTAAAACTGCGTTGATTTGAAACTTCGCATATAAGTTGTTTTCTTTGACTATTGATACAATCCATTCAATGTCCAATATTATCCAAAATTAAATGATATTATATCTTAAATACATTTTATTTTTTTTTATCTAATGTATTCGAATTGTTCAATCGACCACATAAATCACTCTGTTACGTTAGCGAAGCACTTTGTGTACTCTTTGTCGAAATTAACGTTTATTAATTTTTATCTAGTTTTAATTTCAAATTGCTATATTCGTATTTTTATAACTGTAATCACATCTTACTCAAAGTTGATTGATAAGTATATGTTCTACATTTTATGTCTACGGTGGTTGTAAAGAAGAGTTACTTACAGCCTGATGAGATGAGGCATGTTTCCAAACAACAAGTCCGGCAGATGGCGCAACTGGTTGTTGTTGAGCCTCCTGCAACAGTGGAAAGTATAGTTAGCAGGTGAAAACAAAACATGTAAATCTATGAATAGTAATGCATCACTTTTGGTGCATGTTACTTCAGATGTCGCAACTGGTTGTTGTTGAGCCTCCTGCAACAGTGGAAAGTATAGTTAGCAGGTGAAAACAAAACATGTAAATCTATGAATAGTAATGCATCACTTTTGGTGCATGTTACTTCAGATGGCGCAACTGGTTGTTGTTGAGCCTCCTGCAACAGTGGAAAGTATAGTTAGCAGGTGAAAACAAAACATGTAAATCTATGAATAGTAATGCATCACTTTTGGTGCATGTTACTTCAGATGGCGCAACCGGTTGTTGTTGAGCCTCCTGCAACAGTGGAAAGTATAGTTAGCAGGTGAAAACAAAACATGTAAATCTATGAATAGTAATGCATCACTTTTGGTGCATGTTACTTCAGATGGCGCAACCGGTTGTTGTTGAGCCTCCTGCAACAGTGGAAAGTATAGTTAGCAGGTGAAAAGAACACATGTAAATCTATGAATAGTAATGCATCACTTTTGGTGCATGTTACTTCAGATGGCGCAACCGGTTGTTGTTGAGCCTCCAGCAACAGTGGAAAGTATAGTTAGCAGGTGAAAAGAACACATGTAAATCTATGAATAGTAATGCATCACTTTTGGTGCATGTTACTTCAGATGGTGCAACTGGTTGTTGTTGAGCCTCCAGCAACAGTGGAAAGTATAGTTAGCAGGTGAAAAGAACACATGTAAATCTATGAATAGTAATGCATCACTTTTGGTGCATGTTACTTCAGATGGCGCAACCGGTTGTTGTTGAGCCTCCAGCAACAGTGGAAAGTATAGTTAGCAGGTGAAAACAAAACATGTAAATCTATGAATAGTAATGCATCACTTTTGGTGCATGTTACTTCAGATGGCGCAACTGGTTGTTGTTGAGCCTCCAGCAACAGTGGAAAGTATAGTTAGCAGGTGAAAACAAAACATGTAAATCTATGAATAGTAATGCATCACTTTTGGTGCATGTTACTTCAGATTATTGTTATGATCAAATATCAAAGTAGCTATAATTGATGATGAGATTCATAAGTTTAAACAAGCAAAGGGCGCTGTTAGATTGTGGTATTCTTGTACTCTCGGGGCTTTTTAACTTTCGATGATAAATACGCTGAATTAAGTGTGATAAAACGGCAGAAAGAATGCATGCGAGTTGAACGCGCGTCGTAGTATAAATCTCAGTTACGACGGGACAATAGAGAATGGAGGTGAGTATAGGGATGAAGGATGGACCGAGAGAGAGTAGCAAACAGTTGAGAGAAATGGAGTGATAAAAATAAACATGGAGAGTGTTTGTGCGATCAGTCCCTCCATTAGGAATGCACCAACTTTGTCCAACAATACTACGCGACGTTCCCTCTCATGTGTACGTACTGCGTCAATGTCAGGCGATAGTGAAGGTTCAACAGTCATCATCAATGTGTATCAGAACCTATATCTTGCCACAGTATGTAATTTAATCACCCTTATAAATACGAGAGTAGTTATTTTAATTGAAAAGGAGCAAACACCATGTGTTTGCTTAATGTTACTGGAAAATGCTGTACAAACATGAGAGAAATAAATGTTCACTCATGCACACGTATGTTGTGTAAGCTACATAATCCTGAATATGACATTTTTTGTGTTGGTATCTCATAGTAGGCCTATGTTGTATACCTCAAGTTGGAGACTACCCAGTTCGACATTACACACACAGGTGACGTTAGGCAATTACCCGGGCCTAGCTGAGAAGGAGCAACAAACCAACCGGAAATTAGCTGGATAATAGCACTAGAGCCTAGTCTAGGATTGAGTTACCTCAAGTGTAAAAAGTCACGTTTTGATGGTTTGATTACTTCATCCGCACGGGGAAGGTAACCTTTTGAAACTAATTAATATTATGATTGTACATAATCTCTGGTTCCTGATTAGGGTTTAGAGAAGAAAACATAAATGTGTTAATAAACATAAAAAATTTAGAGTCAGTCGTGTTGATTGGTTGTAAGTTTTCAAACGATTTACAAATGTGTGTTTTGTTTCTCAGTCTTTGCAATAAACGTAAACACGTTTCATTTATCAATTGCCAAGAATCGCAAATCCACAATGAAGGGTTGATCGTGGGGTGGTTTATATATAAATGGCACAGCCTGTAAACAATAAGCTATCAGCTGACAATCAGCGAGTATTGTGAACTGAGGGAAGTACAATCGCTCAATCAGCTGTGCCTGTGTCTGGGACCGCTGAATGGACCACAGTCGAGCCTGATACCACTTCTATCCTCTTGAGATCCACCAACCTCTTTAGGAAATTATCAGACGTTATTACTTACTTCGTCAAATTTGTCTTAAGGCAAAATAAGAATTAAATCAGTCAATTGATGTGATGAGGTAAAACGTCAAAATTAAAAAATATAACTTTTTGCCGTCAATACTTAACTGTACGCTTTTTATTTCGGGACAGTATCCTGTTTTGATAGAAAAACTATCTGATTCCACAGTGAATTTTCTAAAATGTTATAAAACAATTTAATTAGTCGTTTCCAAAAGGAACTAGTCCTACATAAAGAAAAAATGTCAGTAAAAAACGTATAAAATATAAAATCAAATGCATTGGAAAATAATTGGCGCGATTATTGAAAAAGATCCACACATTTTGTGGCTCACCATGTATATTTAATGCATTAAGGCCTCAACGTTTATATGGATCTACGAACACTAACTATGTCAGTTGTAATTGTTGAATCCATTAATTTACGTTATTTTATATTCCAGTCAACACAAAATACCAGTACTGACATTTGAGTGAATTATTTCGAGTCTGTGAACAAGGTAATTGTACTTAACTGTCAATAAGTACCTTCATTTCCCACTGGCTTCACAACGTACGCACATGTGAGTGTATCACCCAGACCCGACTAGCCTACAGGTGTCCTGTGGTGGCCAGGAGACAAGGGGATGGACATGATGGGTGGGGAAGGGGATTTCCAGGTGACAGGGATTAATTATCATGTGGTGTGTCTGATTCACCCCCACCACATGCCCTAATGGACAGGTGGAAAAACAACACCCATGTACTCCTCTGGTTCTCTTACAAATCATCATTTGTTCTATTATTGACTTTTGGAATCAACAGACATTCACAGGTTGGATCCACTAATTAAAAATACAAACAAGATATTGGCTCTTTCAAAAAGAAACTATTGCTTTTCTGTTGAAAAGGGATACAAGCCCTCTTCTTCGTGTGCTGAGGTGTTTTTGCTAGGTTAGTTCAAATAGGAAAGGTTTAAATTCCTTTCATTTTTCTGAACAAACCAGCACAAATAGACATAATAGACCTAACCTAACAAAACCAAGCATAACCCTACGTTACCGCAACGGCGCAATGTACAACGTATACAGTAGCGGCGCTCTTGAAACACACAGATATTCTCCGTCTCCGGTATAAGAACAAGAACACACAGATGAGTGCTTAGAAGTTGTAATGTAGTCAAAAATGGAAAAATCTTATTAAAGTTTAATACACACCACTAATCACTGTTACTCTACGCTAGACAACTGTGCTCCCGTTACTTTATGTTTAATTTAGTTAAGTAATCAAATCGCAAATACTGTACTTATACTTTACTTTATACTTTTCTTTGAAATGGAAAGCAGTTACATCACGGCCAAAGTCATCACCACAGCAGTTGAGATTAATAACGATGTCGCGATGTGTTGGCGAGGAGAGCTCGCGTTATTGTCCTGTGAGAAATAACCTCCCCATAAATCTGGGAGCCGCCCGAACCACCTCCAAAACAAAGATTTACACCCTCCTGGAGCCCTCGTAAATTGAGTCAAGGTGACGAATAAATTCTTTCGATAATTTTAACCAAGAACACTTTGTTCTTGTAGACAAAATGTCGTGGCCACCGGATTGGCTAGTCTGCAGTCGGAAGCAAAGGTCACCAAAATTGTTCGAAAAACTAAACACCTCACAGGAATAGCTTTACCGTTAGGGAAGATTGTGTAAACTAAATATTTAAAGCAGTATTCACTTGGTTAAAACCTACGATAAATATCACGTATGTAAAGTTGTAAAAATATATTTCTGACGCAAACATTGACCCCGACGTGAACGAGGGCAGACAAATTCAAGCTCACATAAGCCCTCGGATACATTCTCGACGTTTGAAACAATAAGAAACTTTTCAAATTAAACTTTTAGCCTGAAAATCCGTTTTAACAAAAAGTGACATTATTGTCGTCCAAAAGCGTCCTTTGCGGACGAGCTGAGAAGGATTAGTGACGACGAGGACATTTTGTTGACTTTGCTTGTGATTTTAACAGCTTCCCTTCACGCACTGTACTCACTACTCCGAGAGACGGCGAGTTTGCCTTAATTTTTTAACTTTCGTTCAGGTAAGTTACGCAAATATTCACACGATTAACTCGAACATATTTTTCTAGGAGCTAATGAAATCAAAATTATGTCAAAGTTGAAATTATAAATAAAAGTTTTAAATTGTGGCCAGTATACCATACGACTCATAAAGGGTAGTGACATATGATTATTAACTGGGTTACTAAAATTATAATTTTTAAAGATGGAAAATAAAACAATTTCACAGCTTTTCTAATTTGCTGTAAATCAAGTGTCTATAGTTTGAAACGCCATTTTAGAAACGATGTTTTTATCACATTGGAGGAATTACATCTGAGACAAAGACTGAATGTGAACCTAGCCCAAATATAGACAGAGTTGGCGGAAAGTGTCAGGGTACAGGGGCGGTTATTGGAGGTCCCTGGGAGGCATTAGTTCTCATCACTGGCCCAACGGTCGCGGTCGAGACATAAACTGTATTTAGCCACAGAGGATCTAGACCGTGATATAAGCTGACAAAAGCTTTAGTTCGACCTGAAACTTGATTTTAAAATCCATATGTAATATCTGTCATATAACAATTGTGTAACTTTA